CCCCCCCCTCTCCTCACAGACAGGCGGCCCCCCCAAACATGGGGCCCCCAGCCACTGCCAATCTAATGGAGGTGGCACAGGGGGCAGAAGACCTGCCCAATCAGGAAGCGGAGGCACTGATTGGGGTTTAAGCAGGTTGTTCATGGCAGAACCTGGGCTGTCCCTGTGATGTTGGCAGAGTTGATTTTGTGTTTCCTGACAAAGAAATGAGCGAGATGGGGTGGGGTATCCCTAGCTGCTCCTCTTTTGTGGGTAGGGATAGAAGACAGTGGGATCTGGAGCGATTAGGGAGGCTTTTGCTCTGAGCAAAACTGACATTTAAAAACCATTTTACAGAGACGTTTCTCTAAATTTAATTTCTGAAAGCACAAGATCCTGCTATTCCATAGCTAAAATCAACAAAAACGAAACCAAACCAAGACCCCCAAATCGAGACACCACCCAACTACAGAACTTAAGCTTAATGGATCTGTTTTCCTGTATTTGGTTTATTATTGTTATAATTTATTTTTTAGGTGTTTTGTTGTTTTGTTTTGTTTTGTTTGCTATAGGGCCTGTGTGCTTGCCTGGGAAAGAGAGGGGGCAGAGTGAGAAATCACCACTACTACCCCCTACCCCCCCTCATACCCGTCTCGGGGGTGCAGATGGTCATGCTGCAATCCCTTCTCCATTCTACTCCGGAATTTTGGACATGCATATACATTATGTCTGGGATTCAAAGCATGCAGTTGGCTATATGAGATCCAGGGCCTTAACTACCACGCCATCTGCTGGCTCCTTTTTTTTTTTTTTCCTCTCCTTAATTCAGCCCCATTAAATGTTTGGCTGACGGGCAAGAGAACAACTAAGAGTAAATAAAAAGTTTCCCCTGAACAGTGTTGAACAATTTCCTGCGTGTGTTGTTTTTCAGAAGAATGTCAGTGTCTAAGTTAATTAGCCTGAACATTTCTAATGTAAAGGAACCAATTCTACGTGGAGTCACAGTGACGGGATTAAACGTATCCGTTTGTTGTGTCTGGTTGGTCTGACTCTCTAGGTTCAAATGAGACTCTCCACTTGCCAGCTCCCGCCGCCAAACTCCAGTTTCTGAGTTTACTGAACCCAGCTCTGGTTAGCAGGTGCGGTAAGAAACCTCATGGTCAGATCCTCATCAAGTCGATTTGCTGAAGAGAGGTGATGGAGGCTCCTGAATCTTCCAGAACATCGGGATCAGGCCAGTTGCAGGTTGGGAACATGCTCACAGTAAGGCGGGGTAGAAGAAAGATCCATGCAGAAAGTGGGGCGGAACGTCTTCTGGTGGCCGGGGCCCCGGGCTGCCTCCTTCTTTTAACAGTGTATAATAGCCTCTCAGGGTGAAGGCTTCATCGCACGCCTTCGTTTTACAAACGGCACAGAGCAGAGGCGTTTTTTCGCAAGATCACACATTGAATCCCGGAGGAGAACCGAACCAAGGCGAACACGCGCAACGGTTTTAATGCCGAGTGACTCGTCTTTTAAACTGACCCTTGTCTTCTGCGCGTTCGGAGGGGCGAACCATTTAAAGAGTTCCCGAGGGGAGAATAACTGTTTCTCTATACGGTCTAGGGCGGATACCCGGCTCCCGGCGCTTTAAGGCTACACACAGTGACACACCTGCCCTCCGCTTCCGGAATACTTAAGGCCTTCGCTTCATTGGTAAAACCTGGCCGCGCCCTCAAGGCATCTTGGGAAGTGTAGTTCCTCCTGTGTCGAGACATATGGGCGTGGTCTGCTTGGAACTGCATTTCCCAGAAGGCTGCGCTCGGCGTTACGTTAGAGCAGCGACGGGCCGGGGCGGGGGCGAACTCCTCGGGCTGGGGTTTTTAAGTTCTCGGGAGGAATGAGTGGCCACGGACAGAGGCCTCTAGCTGTGCGGTCTGTGGGTTTTCTGGTCTGGTGGAGCCGGGCTCTGAGCCGTGGTTCCAGCTATAAGCCCTGGGGCAAAAAAATTGAAGGGCGTCTCCTTTAATTGCAGTGGGCCGGGCGCAGCGACGCGATCCGCGTTACTATTGGCGGCGGTTGGGGGCGCGGAAACTGAACAGGCTGCAACGGCCGCTGCCGCTGCTTAGGGCTCCCGCGGCGCCCCCCGCGCCCCCCGACCTGCCACGGGCGGCTCCCGG